GGTTGATTCCTAATTTTTGCTAATATGAATAGTGCTATGATAAACGTACTGGTGCAGGTATCTTTTTAACATAATGATTTATTTTTCCTTTGGGAGAAGTGTATTTTTAAGGTATATTAGAACACCTTCTTTTGGTACCTAAGAACATAGGGTATCCTGAAAAAGCGGTAGCCACAAAATAGCAAACTGTTATAATTTTATTCTTCTTGTGTCTCTTGAAAAAATTGTGTTTGAAATACTGTAGTTTTGGTTGCTATTTTGTTTTGCAATACTCCTGACCAACACGTGTAGCAGAATTGGTAAAAACAAACTGGAAATCTCAGGCATGCCTCAATTAAATTTTTTGTAGAGTCAGTGGGAGCAGAGCACCACCTAGTGTCAATTTTGAATAATTCTCTCAGATAAGAAAGACTGCCTAGGGTGAAAATAATTTACCCGAAGGAACGTAGTCAATATAGATCAAATTTAGGTCAAAATCCCGGAACCAAATCCACATTTATTGACGATAGTCCCATGCTTTTTCTTCTATTGTTCTCCACAATTTTACATCAAAGAAAGGCAATATGTAAAAAGCAAATCCCTTCCACTAATGGAAATTCAATTTAGGTGACAAATACGTTATAAAACAGGACTATTTGAATATCGGGTATGCCTAAAGCACTTTGAGAGCTCAGTTCCAGAGTCAATTCCACAGACTCTAAGGCGAGGCAGGTTTTTTGTTTGTTTGTTTGTTTCAAATTTCTGGCTTTCTTATGGTTCCCTGAGGTCTCTGTAGCTACCCATCTGGCACTGCGGGCGCTTCTCTGCCATCAGCATTGCCAAAAATAATACAGCCTCTGAAATTTATCGCCAAGGAACAAATGAGACGATTTCACTTACCTATGTGGCTCTTCTCTAAAAATGTTCGCAGTTAGTTCATGCCAGATGCAGTTCGCCTCTCAGATGTCTGTGTGCCGTCTTCACAACCATGGTTAGCCCCAAGCGGAGTGTGAGCCGAGCCGAGGATGGGGAGCCTTTCTCCTCTGCCTCTTCCAGCTACTACTTCCCACCCCAAAGAACCTCAGGCTTCTCACCAACTCTGCACTCCTTCAGGGCCCTACAAGTTAATGACAAATAAAATGACAACAATACCAACAGCTTGCCATATCAGATCATTTCTGGAATGAGGTAAAATATGAGTTAATGAAAGAGTAAAGCCAAATAAATAGACAAAATTGCTGTTTTGAGATATCAGTGCTCATGTTGGCTCATATGCTGTTCTTATACAACTTTTAAATTTCCCTAAGATTTTTGAGGAAATTCAGACAAATCTAATACACTCATGGATGAGCAGGTTTGGGGAGGAGGGGACGTTCGGTGAGAGAGAGGCTGTACACATCCAAGCTCTGAGAACCCTGTCCTAAGTCACTGTTGCACTTTCTTGTGTGAAGTCTCAAAGATACTCTCTGATTCCATTTTCTTCACCTGTAAAATTGAGAAACATTAACGACTATTTTATATGATTTTTTATGAAGATTCAAAAGGATCACTATGTGCTAAGTAATCATCGGTCACATGAAATTTGGCTATTTTATTTTATTTTATATTTTATTTTATTTTATTTTTGAGACGGAGTCTCGCTCTGTCGCCCAGGCTGGAGTGCAGTGGCGCGATCTCCGCTCACTGCAAGCTCCGCCTCCCGGGTTCACGTCATTCTCCTGCCTCAGCCTCTCGAGTAGCTGGGACTACAGGCGCCCGCCACCACGCCCGGCTGATTTTTCTGTGTTTCTAGTAGAGACGGGGTTTCACCGTTTTAGCCAGGATGGTCTAGATCTGCTGACTTCGCGACCCGCCCGCCTGTGACTCCCAAAGTGCTAGGATTACAGGCGAGAGCCACCGCGCCCGGCCTATGATGATGATTTCTATTGATGTGTGCCCACTAAGAAATCCATTCTAGGATTTTAACAAGTAACAATAATACTGCCCCAGTCCTTTGAGCCAATGCTTCCATTTTTTAACTGGTTGCAGATTTTTAATGTTCTGAGAGTTGCCATCAATAACTCTAAAAAAAAAAAAAAGGGACTCATTCTGATTAATCAGTCCTGTTTTTAGCCGCGGAGGTTTTGCTAAGGGAAAAAAAAGAGAGCAGAAGAATAGAAGGAAATCTATTCTGGCAAATAACATAGAAAATAATCAACAGGTCTAGAACGTTCAGCTTAAAGTCTTTTTCACCCTTTATGTTCTGGCAAATAATAATAATACGAGTTTTTGCTAGTATGTCAGGCACTGCCCTTAATCAATTAGCAATATTCACTCGCTTAATCCTCATAATAATTTATCATTTTATACATTGAAGAAATGGAAGCGCAAGGAATAAAATAAACAAAATCATAAGAGGAAATGACAGATCTGTACTTTGAACTTGAGGGGTCAGGCTCCACAGACAGGGTAACAATTAGTGAGCTTCGGTTACATCTTTTTTTAATTTTACTTTTTAATTAACAAATAATAATTATATATACTCATGGGGTACATAGTGATGTTTTGATACATACAATTTAGAGTGATCAGATCATGGTAATTTGCATATTCATCATCTCAAGCATTTGTCATTTCTTTGTGGTGAGAATGCTCAACATTCTCCTTCTAGCTATTTTATTTTATTTTGTTTTTGTTTTTGTTTTCTGAGACAGAGTCTTGCTCTATTGCCCAGGCTGGAGTGCAGTGGCACAATCTCGGCCCACTGCAACCTCTGTCTCCTGGGTTCAAGTGATTCTCCTGCCTTAGCCTCCTGAGTAGCTAGGACAATAGCACCCACCACCACACCAAGCTAATTTTTTTTTTACACCCAGCTAATTTTTGTATTTTCAGTAGAGACAGAGTTTCACCATGTTGGCCAGGCTGGTCTTGAACTCCTGACTTCAAGTGATCCACCCACCTTGCTCTCCCAAAGTGCTGGGATTACAGGTGTGAGCCACTGTGCCCAGCCCCTTCTAGCTATTTTAAATTATATATTATTATTAACTATAGTCATTCTACAGTGGCATAGAACACCAGAATTTTCATTTTCCTCTTGCTGCTCTCTATCCCCCCATCCCTTACCAAACATCTGCCCAAGTTGTCAAGCCACCTGAGGAAAACTAGTGGTTTATTTTCTAAGTAGGGCACCTCTCCTTATACTCACTAACGTTTTAAGAAGGTTCAAATCTTTTCTTCCCAGATCACAAAATATCTCTGGGTACATGACACAAAATAGATTCTTTTTGTTCTTTCTCCTTTATACAGAGTTAAGTTTTCAGACAGCTGCTTTCTAGCTTTATTGTCACCTTTTAGCCTCATTATCTGACAGTGTTAATTTAGACTTTATAGCTATTGACTAAAGCAAGTGCCTTATACAAAGACAATGGCAAAATGGGCAAGCAGACTTTCTTTAATGAGTCCCAAATAAATAGCTTTGCTAAAAGTGTCTACTTGCTATGACAAAATACCATAGGTTCCTCAAAATAGCTTGATTTTTTAAAAAGTTGGTAGGCAAATTCAGTGTTCTCTTTAAACTGCTACTGACCTCTCATTCTCCTTTGTCTGGACTCTTCAGTAAAAATAAACCATATTTGTTGGCACATATTCTCAGTTAACAAGCCTGATACCTTGGGTAATACAAAATAGTGGAATATTTGTGTGTGCATTGTAGTGAATAAGTGATTTAGAATATGTATCAGTCCGAATACATGTAACTGGTAGCAATAATGAGGGACATGGCTTTACTTTTGGTTTTCTAAATGAGAAAAATACTGTAGAAAACTATGACCCAAGAATGATGTCACTTTATTTCTTCTATATTTTCATGGAACAAATTACTCATTTAAATACTGACTCGAGATTCCACTTTTTTGCAGTAACTGTCATCAAACACTAGTGAGTAGACTCATTGTTAAATGGTAATACTCATGGCCTGTCAGTCACCCATTAGCATGATGGAATTGGCATTCATGTGGTAATTACCATGAATTGTCTATTTCTACCATCCTGTTTTCTCCCAGCACCAAGCATTGGGGATCACAGAGTTTGTGAAGTCACAAAGAAAGGCAGAAGACAGACAAATAAACAAATAGAGCTTCCTACCACCTCCACTACCACAGTATTGGCAAGAGCATCTTGAATAAATATGACAATGATGATGATGATAGCTAATATTTATTGAATAATTATTCTTTGCCAGGCATTATTCAATTGTTTTGCATATACTATCTCATTTACTGCCTCCACCCACCCTATAAAGTATGCACTATTATTAAAACCATTCCACAGAGGATAAAACAGACTTAGAGACATGATGTAAGTTGCCCAGGATAAAGCAACTACTGAGTAGCAGAGCTGGAATTCAAACCTAGATAATCTGAATTTAAAATCCACATGCTTAACAGTTTAACTCTACTCCAGAGTGTCAGCATTGTTGACACACATGGCCGGGTAATCCTTGCTGGCAGGGATGCCCTGCGGGACAGTACGATGCTTAGCAGTGTAACGGTATCCCTGGCCTCTGCCTACTACATTACAGTAGCACCTTTTCTACCTTGCTTTCCACCTCCAGTTGTGGCAGCCAAAAAGTCTCCAGACATTACCAAATGCCCTCTAGAGGTCAAAATTGCTTCCCCACACATGTTGAAAACCACTGTTCCACTCTAATCTCTCTTTATCTGATTATATAACCTCATGTCATTAAATAACTTTTAGAAATATAATTGTAATGGCTGTGATAAATGTTATTGAATATTAAATTAGTGCTACACTTAAAATATTACTTTTGATTATTTAATAAGAAAAAACTATATTTAAAAACTTAAAGCAATCAGGTTCTTTGAGATCTACTCCTTTAGTGTATATAAGATATAAAGGTAAGCTCTGTCAATAAAATAAGTCAGAGGTGATTTATATTGCAAAAACTATTAGCTTCATTCTTTAAAATGTGTCACCATTTTTTACCCAGCCTACTTCTGAAGATAAAGTGAAGGAGACTTGTGTCAGTAACAAATCTCTTTAGCAGCAAAAGAGTTTATTCGGTTACTGTATACAGATGTGGCCTAAGTCAACAATAAAATAAAATATAACTGCATGCATATATTTCTGAAAATGAAAATAAATTAATCACTGACATTTTTAAAACTTCAGAATTCTATTATTTTTCTAAAATGTCTAATAAAACAGAATTTACTAACACTTTGGTTTTATTTTTGCTCCTTTTAAAATATATGTTTAGATACATATGTTTAAAGGATGTATTTTACTATTTATACCAGCATCATTGACTAAATGCTTAAGTGCCTACTGCTATGTTAGCTACTTTAAAAAAATATAAAAATTAAGATCTGCATTCCTGAGGAAGGTATTTAAAAACAAATCAGACATACACAAAAGCCCTAAGAATAAGAAAAGAGAGTGTAAAACCACTAGTATTTTGTATAATTCATATTAAAGTAAAACGCACACACACATACACATACCAAAGTTAAGGAAGATAGTAAAACTCATTTAATAGGCATGTTCCATATAACCATTTTGTTACAAATTTTGCATTTTCCACATGAAAAAAATCACAGTAGGCACATACTAGAAGCAAAATATGTCAGGCAAAAATATCCTAAAGATATTTCTGTTATCAAACTTTTACAGTTTTTCCAAATCGTTTTTGAGGTTTGGGAAAAAATCTGGGGCATTTTTGGCTAAAAACAAACGCTATCCATGTGAGTTTTGACGATTGTTCTTTCTCACCAAAAAAAAAAAAAAAAGTCCATAATTTTCTACAAATTCCATGAAGTTTTAAATCAATGGTGTTTGATTTACATTTACCAAGAAACGATTTGCTCATTACCATAAAAATTGAATTAAAAATACATCAGGCTAAGTAAATCCAAAAGAGAATAGTGAATTTTGTTGGGCTTACAGACAATTGGTATGCATTTCTGTGATCATGTATTATTTTTAACCTTTTCCTTCGGTGCGATTTGGAAGTGACCTGCCTTTTAATAGCTTAGATTGGACATCATCATTGCAATCAAAGTGAGTAGCATCACAACACAATTATCTAATATACACATGCTGCTTAGGGTTGCAATGTTACCACAGTTACCACCAGATTAAATGTCTCAGGAAAACAGAACCACTAAGTCTTTCAACATGCAGAAATTCAGCACTCTTGACAGATTATGAGCCTTCATTTTTCTTCATTTTGAGGCTTTTCCAATTGGTCTTGTGTTGTTTCTTCATCTTTCTCTTTTGCATCTGAAAAAAAAAATTCCATTCATATGTGGAATACATTGAAATTTATTTTATATTATATTGGAATAAAACTGTTGGTTTTTCCTTGGTCCATTGTCCATATTTTGCCCTCAATTCAGATATGGAAACTATACAAAGAAGACAGATATGAGTAGGTTTGGGAATCTACCTTCTCCTGATGAACTGTCTCCTATTCTACAGAGTTATTAAGTGCCAGGCAGTCTTCTAGAATATTCTCAGAGCCTCCATTTACAGATTACTAAAATGAAACACAAGCTGGTTAAGCGACTTGTCCAAAGTCAGAGACTAGTGAGTGATAGTCACAACTTGAGCTTGGGCCAACTGACTCCGTGGTCCATGTCCTTAGCCATTTCCCTATGCAGGATTGTACTCTCCCCAGCTTCACACTTTCTACTCTCTTTGTTCTTTCTTAGGAGATAACCTCACTTTCTACTTCATGGGAAAAAAAATCAAAGCTATCAGACAGGAGCTCCCTCAACTTCCTGCCATTAAGGTCTAAAACTCTCTGTGATCTGTGCTTATTCTTTCTGCCTTCCCTCTTTTTACAATGGAAGATGCACTCGTCAGCACTGGCTATGTAATTTGTTGGTGCCCAGTGCAAAATGAAAATGCAGTACCCTTGTTCAAAAATAATGAAAAATTTCAAGACAGCAACAATAGAACATTAAATCAAGCGCAAGTCTCCTCTAATCAAGGAGCCCTATGCAACCACCCTGGCTGCACAATTTTGGAGCTGGCTCCTGGTGCTACTCCTGCTGTGCAGTCTAATACCTTCATGATCCCACATCCTATCCATTTTTGCTTCATCAAGAGGTTGACTCTAATAATCATCTACTGCTCTTCATTGTATCTGACTTTTCCTTTCTCCCGGCTCCTTCATTCCCTCAATTCACTACCATCTTTAAACTAAAAAAGACCCTCTTTCAACTGTAAGTCTTCCACATCCTATCTTCTCTTTCATCCTTTAAGAAGTATCCCTCTTTTGTTGTCTCCATTTTTAAGTAAAATTATTTGGGTCTACTACTTCTACAAAACTGCTCCTACCAAGTCATCAATGGCATCTTTGAAATCTGATGGACTCTATTCAGTTCTTCAACTTTAATTCGTCAAATATTTATTAAGCGTGTACTATGTACAAGGCAATGAACAAAACATAAATCCTGGCTCTCAGGAAAAATCTGATGAGAAATACGGACAATAAACAAAATAAATAAAATGTGTGGTCAATCAGAAGTAAAAAGGGCTAATGAAGACATTAAAGCAGGAGTGGAAAATAGAAATTGTCAAGAAGTCTTGGGGCCTGGAGGATGCAATTCTAGAGAGAATTAGCTGGGTATGCCTCACTAAGAAGGGGACATTTGAGTAAAGGCCTGAAAAGTTGAAGAAGAATTCTATATAGATAGCAGGGAGAAGAGCATTCCAAGCACAGAGAAAAGCAAGGCCAAAGACAATAAAACACAGGAAGGATTTGCAAATGGGACAGTGGCAGAGAAAATTAGAAGGGAAAATGGAGTCACAGAGGTACCAAAAAAAACTAGATCTTGTGAGTGAAAAATGGCAGATTTATGGATCAATTTTGAAAGTAGAGCTGACAGTATTCACTGATAGATGAGATGGAGAATATAAGAAAAAGAAGGGAAATAAGGATGATTCCAATATTTTTGGCAATAATTTTGTTAACTGGAAGTATGAATTGCCACTCATAGATGGGAAAATGCAGAAAGAGCTGTTGTTGGGAGACTATCTGGAGTTCGCTTTTATATCCATTAAGTTTGAGATTCCCATTAGATATCCAAGCAGAGATGCCAATTAGGCAATTGGTGTATGAGTGTGCAGTTCAGGAGAGCTCCAGGTTGGAGATACAAATTTGTAAGTCATCAAAGCACGATCATTATCCCAACGAGATCAGATTACATCACAAGTGACAGAGTGTTGATAGATATGATGTACAAAGACCAAATTTTGATAACCTCCAATTTATTAAGAGTTAGGGGAGATGAGGAAAGTAAAGCTGAAGGAGGAGCAGCCAGGGAAGCAGGAAGAAAACTAGATGAGTGGAGTGTCCAGAAAGCCAAGGGAAGAGAAACGTTACAGGAAAGAGTGACAATCATCTATGACTAAGAGATCATGCAAGAGGAGGGCTAAGAATGAACCACTGATATTAGCAGAGACAATGTCATTTGTCATTTTGAAATAGCAGTGGGGTGATGTGGTGAGGTGAAAATCTTATTAGGGTGAGAGAGAGAATGGGACGCAGAAGATTTGGAGCCACAGAAGCAGATAACTCTGTCAAGAAGTTTTGTTACAAAACAGAAATGGAGAACTAGGACAGTAGCTGGAGGGAGATTTGGGATCAAGGGAGAATTTGTACCCCTAGCAATCATAATTGGTTGCCTTCTAATTAACATGGCAGGTGCTTTTATGTGTGTATTGAAAGAAATCCCTTAGAAAAATAAGCTTGGTGGAAAATGGTACTCTATAACAGTATGAAATACAAAGGACTAAATTATTTGTATAGTAATTGAAGCTGCACTTGCCACCACAGATTCTAAGCAAGCTACACACAAAGCTTTATAGCTTTCAGAGAAGAGTTGTTAAATCTGCTATCTCAAGTTTGTCTAATGAGCAGATAATAATATGAAGTCCCCTTAAGTTGTTATCTTTCTATGAAATGTACTAGGAAATCAAGGTAATAATTAGATGAAAACTAACAGGATACCATTTGTTGTCAATCTAGTATCTTGCTCAGGATTATTAACTAAAATATAAAACATGATTTCAAATACCTCTTATAGTCTCATTTTTTGCTTTGTAATGTGAAAGTGTTTAGAAATACATTGAAAGATGATAGTAGATAAAAAGAAACAATAATCTGCTCAAGAGGTTATGATTGCTGTCAACTTTGAATTGTGATGTTAATGAAAAGAAAACTTTTTGTATTGTGATGTTAATGAAAGGAAAATTATTTTTCATATATTATGAACTTCCTAGTTAACATTGTTATTCTTCAAGCTTCTGCACATGTCAAGTGCTTTCAATGTAATTGAATATATTTTCAATATATTCTTTCAACATAATTTCTCTGAGAGTGCAACATCAAACTTCCCTTTCAAGCCTGTTACTGTCATTTCAAATGTTAATAAGCTTTTTTGAACAGTTATTTATCTCACTTTTTTGATCATAATAAGAACTCTTGAGAAAGTAAGAAAATGTTGAGTTCTAGATTATCTGGCTTGATTCTGTTCTCTAGAAGCCTAGTTTGGAAAAACATTTCTCATATGTAGTAACACGTTACTTAATATAAATATTATGTCCAGATCCTTATTATGTATCTTTTAGGTAATAAACCACTTTAACCGTTTACTAAATTAGGCTTTTCATTAATATATGTTTAACATAAATCAGATTATAATAGTCTATTTTTTTTTACATTTTCTATTTCCATCCTTGTGTTCTGCTCTTCTTTGTATCAACTGTTTTTTCTACTTCTTGTCACATTTTTAGAGTGCTTCACAGAACAATAATTCTGCAAGATGCTTCTTTAGAGACGGTCAAATAAATGAGAGGAAAAAAAAATGCTGTATGTTCTATTTTTAGAAGGATGTAGACACACTATTACTTTAAAGTCTCTGTAACAAAGGTTCTGAGAAGTCCTTGTCTAAAAAGGAAACATTCCGAGAAGTGTAAAAAGCCAATTATGTTGAAACCAGCAATTCCAAACTTATTTGACCACAGCATCCTTTTTATCTGGGTGACACATTAATACCTAAAAGAATTTCCATGAAGCATTTATAGAGAAAAGTTGGTATAATGGGAAAGATGAAGGCTTTGGAACCAGAATTCTATTATCACTTAATTTTTGTGAGCTCGAGCAAGTCACTTAACCTGTTTGGGGTTAGTTATGGTAACATCTATATATCAAAAGAGTGGAGGCCTTCTAAGGCTCTCTCTTTCTTTCTCATATTCTCTGTTTCCATTTGTACTGTAAAGGTAATCTACTTGTGTGGCTTATGAGGTATGGGAGAATTTCATTTGCACTATTTTCTCCTCAATCATATAAAATAAATTTTGAAAATATACACTCAAGGCCAGGTGCGGTGGCTCATGCCTGTAACCCCAGTACTTTGGGAGACCAAGTTGGGCAGATCACCTGAAGTCAGGAGTTTGAGACCAGCCTTCCCAATGTGGTGAAACCCCATCTCTACTAAAAATACAAATATTACTGGCATGTGGTGGTGGTGGGTGCCTGTAATCCCAGCTACTCAGAAGTTTGAGACAGGAGAGTCACTTGAAACCAGGATGCAGAGGTTGCAGTGAGCTGAGATGATGCCATTGCACTCCAGCCTGGGAGACAAGAGTGAAACTCCGTCTCAAAAAAAAAAAAAAAATACACTCAAATTTTCAAAAATGTGTATCTCTGAATCTTTTTCCCTCTGGTCCACCAGACCTATATATCAAATTGCTTCATTGACTTGTCCATTTAGATGTCTCATAGGTATCCTAAACACAAAACTTTTCACTCCTCCAACTCTCAAAATTGCCCATCCTCTAGGCTAACACTTCTCAGTGTTATAGCATCAGCACCTGCCTGACTGCTTGAGGAGTTATCCCCCAATTCTCTTCCTCATCTCTGCCACATCCAATTCATCAGCAAGTCCTATTGATTCTGCCTATAAAACATATCCCAAATCCGCTGACCTTTCTCCATCCCAGGATGCCACCCTCTGTCACCTCTTGTTCATATGTCATCAAATATCATTGACCTTTTTATCATGGTTATCAATTCATAAGGAATAGATTAAGACAGATTATGAACTGGGCAAACCTCAGGTTAATTTCATGCAGTATGCAGGACACTGGAAATCCTAGATTTCCTGCCACTTATGCATGTTTATTAAAAAAATTAAAAATATAAACAAAAGAAGATAGACCTGAGGGAAATCTGCAGATCTTCCTCACCTCATAATTTGCATGTTTACGTGAATAAATTATTGAAACCATAACATCTGAGACAGACTCCCGCTTTCAGTTTTCATTATTAATTGGAAACCATTCCTTTTAAAATTCATAATAATATCTATACTTAGCTAATGAGAAAAAGATAAATCTTCAAACTGCTTACTTATAACTTTGTTAATAAAATATTATCTATGTCATGTACCTATGTAAGCCTATATCCTTTTGTGTATTTTTTTCTACTCTTTAATTTTTCATTGACAAATAAAAATTATATATACTTATGTTGTTGTGCAACATGATGTTTTGATAGATGCATACATTGCAGAGTGACTAAATCCAGCTAATTAACATATTCATTATCTCACATACTTACGTATGTGTGTGTATGTGTGGTGGGAACACTCAAAATCTACTCACTTGGCAATCTTCAAGTATACAATAGTTATTAACTATAGTCACCGCTTTGCTACAATAGATCCCCTGAACTTATTTCTCCTAATTGTAATTTTATATATTTTGACCATCATCTTCCTAATTTTCCTGGTAGCTACCATTCTACTCTCTGATTCTAGCTGTTTGTCTCTTTCAGATTCCATGAATAAGATCATGTGGTATTTGCCTTTCTGTGCCTGGCCTATTTCACTTTACAACATGCCTTCATCCTTTTGCGTAATCTTTAGCATCTGGCGTTATTTGTGAATTCATTTTTACCATTTTCAGTTTCTTAACTGATGCCTTTGACTTTATTTCAAAATGATACGAAGAAAAATATAAAAACAGTACCATATTCTTTCAGATCCTAGTCTCTCTAGTGACCAAAATAAAATGGAGAACACTGCTGACTCTCCCATAGTGTATTTGCTCTCTTTTGCTTGATTAAGTAATGTCAGTTACATTAAGGTTTTGTGTGTGTTGAAGGTGTATAAAATTTAATTAGGGTTTTTACACTAACAAGTAATTGCCTTCTCTACCTCACTAGTTTAGAACGGACTCCAACAGCAACATCATGTTCCTATGGTCATATTACATTTTCAAACTTAAAAGGCCAAGAACATTACATATATGTTTATTTCTTTCTTCCCTTCTCTTTTCCATCTTTTCATTCTTCTTATTATATTTTACGTTGAAGTGTATGCTTTTTAATTCTCACCTATAGTGTCGCATATGACAAACAGTGGCCTTTGGAAAAAAATGAGGTAATCATGGAACTGCAGGATCTGGTCACAGCTCCTGGCCTACAAGGATATAACCATTTCATAGAGAATGAACCAGGAACATTTGAAACTTTACCAGGTAGTAAATAACCTCCTGAAGCAAAGAACCAAGAGCCTTCTTCTTGGGCTCCCAGAAATGGGCCAGATGTGAGAGGCTTCTGGTTCTCACTTGCTTTGTTGTCACCAAGAATAAATTCCCAAACATACACTAGAGTCCACCTGAGAGTCTAAAACGGGGCACAAAAGGTGAGTAGTTTGCTAATGACTTGGAACAAAAATGATCTTTAATCTCTCTGAGTGTAGTTTTTAACTTTGATTCAGGGTTTTGTTGTTGTTTTTTTTTAAATCTCCATAAGGGTTTTTAAATGAAAGGCACCTTTTAACACTTTATTGAAAGTATCCTTATATTCGTTTTCAGGAGACTAAATTCTGGAAGCTATATAAACTGTATGTAAACAATGGAGAGAGAGACCTAAGATTTCCCTTCATGGTGTGACAGCTCTACCTTTCTCTTAATGTCAAGAATGATCACCTTTTCTACAAAAAATTTCTTGAAAGAATCTCATCCCTACTTGAAAGTAAACGTCTTCCTAGATTTGAGAATTAAAGGGCTTGTGGCACACTACAGTGAAGCAGAATCTTCCAAAGTGATTTGTCAATGGATGGCAGAAGAAAAATTACTTTATTTATGAATACTTCTCAATAAAATTGAAAGCTCATTGACAGAAAGATCATATTTGTTCACTTTTGTATTCCCAATTACTAGCTTTGTGCATGACTATAACTATACACATGCAATGAATAAATAAAACTTCAGTTTCTACATACACAGCATGAGACAAAAAGATGAAATATTCTACTTTGGAAAAGGCTGAACATCCACTAAGCCTTGAACAAAAGCTGAGAGGTTTAAGTAAACAAATAAGGAAACTGAGCACTTTTAACTAGGTAAAAGAAAGACTGTCCAGAGAAAAGGACTGGTTAAGAAGGGACAAGTGCTGTTAATTGTAAGAGGATTTTGAGTATTACCTTCCTTCACGGAGAGAGCCTCCAGTTTGAGGGGTAAATCTGAAGTTCCATCTGTGGCAGCTGAACTCTGGATGTCTGGTAATGCATTCCGGCGGCCTGCCCTTGCTGAAGATGCAAAATTGGCGACCCCAGACTCCACATCAGTCATTTTTGATGAATCTGTCCTCATAGCAACATCTACAAATAGAATGTGCATATGAAGAAGATGAGCCTATTCAGAGCTAAATGTTCACCACAGTGGTTGAAAGGCATGGCTAGATCAAAAACACAACAGGCTTGAGAGTCTAATCATTGATCACAACCTTCATCAATGTCTACTGTTACGGTCCTGCAGCGTCCATTTGCACATTTGCTGAATAGAGCAGGAAGTCCTTAGTGTGAGCCAGATTGCTAAAAATAACCCCTGAGCCGAATGAGCCACTTGGATGCTTAAGGGTGCAGTAATCCCTTGCCTTTTGTTCTGCTTTTCTATGGATGGATCAGCCAAACTAGGGCTTGGAAGGAAATGAAAACTGACTTTTTTGACCACTCCTGTAGAGACTCGGCCTGCCAGTATTTGCTTGTGGTGGTTGTTAAGGCTGAAACCAAATAATTATAATTTGTAGGGACCAAACAAAACACTCTTTTCCTACTTCTTAGAAATAAGAAATTCTACTTTATCTCAAAAGCTTTTTCCCTAGAAAGCACTGGATATTTTGATCTGTTCTGGTCTGAAACCTAATTTTCGATAAATTCATGTTAATGTTTGGAAAAGCAGGACCTATTTTAGGTTTTTTTTATCATCAGGTCGACATGGTAATTATTAATTCTTTCCTAAGCACCATTTGTCTCCCTAACAATTGTCTCTCTCTAAGAAAGAATTCTCAAGAGATCATTCACTATAGAGGGAGGAAGGTAACAGTTATTGCTTACTCTAAAATTGACCTTCTTTTTATGATGTTTTCTAATGAATCTCTCCTGAGAAGTCAACTCTGAAGAGCATCTTTAAAGCAGCAGCCGCAGTAAGCATTTTATTGAAAAGCTATTTAATGCTAGCCTCTCAGCTAGGCCTGAGAGTACAGACGTATGGTATACTTTCCATCTTTAGGAAACTTGCACTCTCAAAAGGGAGAGAAAATATATGCATGCAAAGATAGATACCCTAACATAGAATGCACTATGATACCCTAATATAGAATGCACTGAGGGATGGAGATGCTTATTTGTGACACCTAAAAAGGGCAGAAATATGTAAACCTTGGGCTACACAGAACAAATCCAACTTTTCATGGTAGTTGGAGGGAGTAACTTCAATTCAGGAAATGCTAAAAACTAAATGATACAGTCACAAAACATGGTGCATTTAACAATAGAAACACAACATCTTTGGTTCATAGAATCCAAGAAATGCAAATTGAGCTTAGCATGGTCCTTAGGAGTCCAGGAATAGTTCGGAATTGCCCAAAAAAGAGTCATTCTATTATTTCTATGGATATTATTGTCTTTCCAGGAATCATGGGAAATTTGAGAACAGAGCTATGTTTTGAGATACAATTTTGGAATCCATCAGAGTTTTAACTGCTTGGTATTTGGCGACTGTGGATAACGTATAGATAACTTAGTGTACTGTAAAAAGCAATAGACTATTGGTCAAAAAGAATATGCTCCATTATAGACTTGTAAGGTGATATTGTTCAATCCATTTAATTTCTCTGAGTCACAGTTCCTCCTTTATATAACGGGCATAGCAATTAGCCTATGGATTCACAGGATGCTTGTGAAGCACTAATGACATAAAGAATAAATAAACTCTTTGTAACTATAAGGCATATGTTTGATTGTTGGCATCATTGTTCATATCTCACTAAGCGTTCTTTATTGTACCACCTTCTTGTGTATCCTCTTTAATCCTGACAAGAAGTATTTTCCTCTTGGGAAGACCTCTAGCATTTTCTAAGAGGAAAACCAGCATTTTTATTCAATACTACAAGAATATTTTTATATTATATTATTTAAACCTCCCAATAATCCCATGAGGTACTGAAGTATGACCCTTGTTTTGTGGATGTGGAAACTGGGGATCAGAGAGGTTAAGCAACTCATTTAAAGTTGCACAGCTGCTAAGCCAGCACTCAGGCATGCAAACCCAGTTGCAGTTCACTCTGAAAGCAACGCAATATGGATTATCACAAAATTGTCTCTGAATCCCCATAATGCACATAGGTAGCCATATAAAGCTACTTTATATTCTGCCTTTATTATTTTTATATAGAGAAAATAGGGGGGAAAATGTGTCTGTGGGTATACATATATACACCTAAAAGTTTGTTAAAGTATGTATGTGTATATATATATATACACACACATGCACATATATACACACACACACACACACATATATATATATATAAAAATACCTGGACGATGGAATAATCTCTCTCTCTCTGAATATATATATACACACACACACACACACACACACACACACACACACACACACAACTGATGCATATAATTGGTTCCCCGTCTTTTCACAGTGTTCCTCTCTAGTTTGAATGTTTGGTTATCTTGTGAGCTCTCCTATGATACATTAATTTTGGTCAGATCTCTTCTCAACAGCTTGTGAGAAGTGGCTAGTTTGGAAGTAGACCCCATTTGCTGGCCTCCACTCTGTCCTCCACCAATTCACATCACATCAAAAACCACTATGACTGCAAGTATCTCTTCCTGTGTAACCGCAAAGAAGTTAACTCTGCTGGTCTTAAAGGAACAACTCCATGAATAACTGAATTCTTACTTGCCTGCTAGTCTAAAACCTTAAAATTAAATATGATAATAGTTTTTAAAATGTTAAGATATGTGATCTTAAATATTTAAATAAATTTATATATTTTATATAAAATAAAATGGGTAAACTTCTTCAGCAAGATGGGACATTTTAAATGAATATTGAGTTGAAATTTGTATATTGAAAAAGAAATTCTTTTTTTTAAATAATTTTTTTGGCTCGGCATGGTGGCTTATGCCTGTAATCCCAGCACTTTGGAAGGCCAAGGTGAGCAGATCATGAGGCCAGAACTTTGAGACCAGCCTGGCCAACATGGTGAAACCCTGTCTCTACTAAAAAATAAAAAATAAAAATAATAGTCGGGCATGGTGGCTCACACCTGTGATCCCAGCTACTCAGGTGGCTAAGGCAGGAGAATCTTTTAAACCCGATAGGTGGAGGTTGAAGTGAGCCAAGATTGCGCCACTGCACTCCAGTCTGGGTGATGGAGCAAGACTTTGTCTCAAAAAACAATAATAATAATTTACTTAACTTTTATTTTAGGTTCAAGGGTACATATGAAAGTTTGTTACATAGGTAAACTTGCGTCATGGGGATTTGTTGTACAGATTATTTCATCACCCAGGTATTAAGCAAAATACCCAATAGTTATCTTTTCTGCAGCTCTCCCTCCTCCCACCCTCCACCCTCAAGTGAACCCCAATGTCTGTTGCTAAAAAAGAATCTTCTAAAAAGTGGCCCTTGTAGTGGGTGATCAGCATGAAAAGGAAATTCTGGGTTTCACGTTTATTTCAAGATCATTTTGCTGCTAGCTGGCTGCTATTTTGGAAGTTTTTGCTTTTGCCTTTGTATTGTTATTTCAGACATAGGCTTTCTAATTAGTTCTGTTTTGTAGATTGATGCTGGAAAATAAAATAATCACAAAACTATCTAAAAGTTTGCTAAAGTTGTATTCATTAACTACTATTTTAAGATTGAAAACAGAACTGGCCAAATAGGGAGGCTAAGTAACAAAACCGCTTTACTTCGGGGCTGTACTTGGCCATAGCAAACTCACATTTGGCACCATCTTCCTTTCAAAGTCTGCCATTGATACTGACTGACCAAGATGTCATGCTCCACCACAGGCAGACCAAAGAGTTAACTCCGCCCAGCAATGTGGGAAGATGGCACATTCTACAGAGAAAAGCTGTTTTCCTGACCAAATGTGCCAATGGCCTAGAAATTGGTGGCAGGAACATTTGAATCCACAAGATGACCCTTAGTTGGGCTCTTTAAACTCCAAAGCAAAGAGATTTATTGTACCACTGGAGATAATCTGAAAGCTCATCAAGAAAAGAAATATGAATAAACTATGTAATTATGTTATGAAATGTTATACTACAATTTTAAAGAATGTGTTAGATCCAATAACACACTGAAATAAAGCAAGTTTAAAAATTAATATTTATAGTGTGGGGGAAAAGGAGAGAATATTATGAATACAATGGAATCTCATCTTTATACAAATAATAAAAATTCTAGTTGGGAATGGAAGGTAGAACAAGGAAAATATTAAACTTTTTTTCTCTACCTCTTTACATATTTTGACTTGTACTAATGATACCTTTGTAATTTAAAAGAATTGAAACATCCACCTAGAAAAATTATGAATAAATAGAAATTCAGCACAGAAAGCCTCTAAAAGTAACATTTTGAAAATTTAACCAAATAATAGCATATCCTTAAGAGAAAGCTTCTTCTTCCCCCAACAGCCATCTCTCATTTGTCTGTTGTTGGTTTTCTATACAACACTGATTGCATACGCTTGATTTTTTAAAAGGGGCGATACACAAATAGAAAAGAGATGATTGCTCTCTTCAAATGCCTTGTGACATTTAAAATATATAGCCCACACAAAGATGAGGAAATACTACAGAGAAAAATGACAGATTAACTTGAGGTTCTTTTAATTTTCTGGGCATAATTACGTTATGTTTGCTAACCAAGGCAGCTGACTCACTAGTAACTCTTCCTCTTTCTCTTCTATAGAATTAACAAAGGACTCTAGATGAGTGCTGCTTTGTCAACTGTGGCTGCTTACAGAAGCTGGAACCATTTAGACATTTGGAGATTTCACAAAAGTCCTTGCAATCCCACAGCAAGGTAATGCGATCTACATTGCCTGAGACACACTTCTATCTCTATTGAAAATACACAATTTTCAGACTGTTTGACAAAAGACTACTACACAGTCATATATATACACACACACACACACGCCAGCATCTTTACAGTCTCTAAAATACTGAAAATGCAACACCAGCACAACTCAAGAGGACAAGATGTCCAAGATAAATGGAGCATTAAAGTCATATTAAAAAATCACCAGTCAGAACCCAGTGGGCCCCAAAGAGCCTGCTAAGAAAAA